ACATCCTGTGATGGTTTATGGTACATTTCTTCTCTGATCTGTTTGGAGTTCTGTTGGGGACCCCTGTTGTGTAAAGTAGCAGTCTCTCCATGTCCGGATAGCCCATGGGCTCGGCTTCATATGCAGAGACTCCTTTTATCAGCAGGGTGCCTTCCCAGCATCTTCCTGACTCATCTTTTAAGTAGCCGTCACAGAAACATGGCCTCCGGCTCTGAAACTGCCAGGTTTTCCTGTGTGATTTTCAGACAATGTCTGGCAGCCTGGCAGAAGCCCACCACCACACGTAAATGGGGCATCCTGAAAGCACCTATCCACTAAGGCTTTTGCCACTGTCCCCACAGTATAAATATCCTGGTTTCCCCCTAATTCATCAGAGCTGAATCACCAAGACCTTGAGCCGAGCTGAGTCACTGAATAAAGGAGCTGTACTGAGCTGAGTTCTGTGTCTTACTGCCTACGATCCAGTCTCTCCAGAGAGGGCTGTCTCTTCATAAACCACGACTCACGGAGACCCTGCTTTCGCAGTTTCTCGCACCTCCCCTCGTGACCTAGTGGCCAACGGGTCTCGAACTTAGAGGGTGGAAATTGAAACCGAACCCGACCAGGCAGCTGACAGCGGCCCTAGAGTCGCCAGCTCCGGTAGCAGAGACCCTCAGCAACGCGGTGCACGAAACCCGTGTACCCAGTAGTCGCGGAGACCCACAGCAACGCGGTGCGGGACTCGCGCGCTTGACCCGCGGCACCCCAGCGGCCAGCGGGAGACCAGCGCCAAGCCCAGCAGCTGGTGCCCCGAGATCCCCGCACGCCCATAGAGTTCTCCCAACATGAGAGCCTCTGAACCTCGTGCCAGCTAGCAGCTGGTGCCCTCTGAAACGCAGGATTCGTGAGTATCTCTCCCCACCAGGAGGGCAACACAAATCTCTTCTAATTTCCTCCTTTTGTTTCCAGCCTAGAGTCTTCACGTGAGGACGTTAAAAACAGAAAGGCAACTGAAGCTTCCTGGTCAGGGCTACTCCCTGACATTAGCTGAAGGCCTCTCTGCCCCCTAACGACCTCCGACCACCTTCAAAGGTGTAGACAAAAGACCTCTATATATCTTTCTAATATAAAAATCTGGTGACGCAGCGGCCACTTAAGAGTCATTAGGATGGCCGCCAGTCTCTCAAAACTGTGGGAAGGCCTGTGCTGGGAGCCAAGTGGAATCCCCTGAGATTTTAATTTCAGGCACGTTCCCTTGGAAACCATCACTTCACCCCACTTTTTCTATCTTAACACTGCTAGAAAAATCCCAAAAGTCCTAAGAAATCTCCACATAAGCTTTGGAGTCAGCTTCTAAGGCAGACTTCCCTAGTCAGTTTTGTTATCATGCCCCCCCCCCCCCAG